GACTAGAAATACAGCTATAAAGCTTTAAAAATGTATATTTTAACTTTAACCACTAGATGGCGCCATTGTTCTGGATAGCCTTGCAGAAGGTTTTAATGAACAATTATTGTATTCATGTGCTTTATATGAACTGCAGCTGTACAGCCCCTTTAAGGCTATGAGAGGTCAGGCTGGTTTCATGTTTTGTGAAACTGAAAGATCATGCTGTAGCTGCTGGGTAGCATCTGACACAAGAAAACCCCTTTCAGAAAATCAACTATTGTAATGAAGGTTGAACTATCAACTGTGAACTTCTCAAGACAACGGTATCTTTCATAAATGTGAGTTTGGGGAAGATTGTCATTTACGATTAAAATGTTATACATTTATACTATTTATTAATTAGAATATTTGTTAGTATAAACACTAATTTTGTCTGTTACATTTGACTTTTTTGCTGTTTCATGAATTGTTTTGTATTAAATAATAATCAGTTTTACTTGTTGAAGCTAAAAAAGTGATTAAAAAAAATAAATCTTCCCTGAGAAATATTCATTGGAAAAAAAAGTGTAACAACTAAAACAAAAAGTCCCCAAAGTGGTACTGCTACAGGGACTCCTCCCTATTTTTTCATAACAGACTAAAAGCACCAAAATAATGCTTTAGATTTTAATAAGATTTTAGTCAAAGATATAAAGCAAAAACACTTTTGTTTCAATCTGTATTAAAAAAAAAATCTAATAAATTGAATGAATATATGTAAAAGTGTCTTTAACCTGAAACATATGAAAACGAAACTGAAACTGTTTTTAAGGCACTATTCTCATAATTGCATCATAAAAAATTAATTGCATGTAATATTTTGACCAAATTTACAAAAATGTCCTTTGTTAACAATAAAATATGACAAAAAAACATTTAACAAATATTGTAACTACTGTGAAACTGTATGAACATTATGAATGAACATTATCCCCCCAGACAGTGTTTCAGAATCTCACTTCTGTCGTCACCACTGTCCATTGCCTGTGCTACCCATCTTTGTTCTTTGTTTGATGGCAAAAAATAATTTCCTTCATTAGTGGAAATCGAACAGGATTGTGCTTACAGTGTAAAATGGAAAATAAAACATCATGACAATCACATGTTTTCCTTTCACTGTCATAAGAGTGAAAGAGCATTACAATATGAAAGGGGATTTTGGCAGGGTGGCCAAGGCTTTGGCTATGGACTTTATTATGTGAGCTTGAGTTCATGCTGGAAATCACGTGACCTCCCAGCAAAGCCCCCTTTCTTGGCTCAGACAAGCTTCTTTTTATTGCTTTAGAAGAAGAAGAAGAAGAAGAAGAAGAAGCTAACAGAAATAACAGCATGGGCTTAAATATAGTTTCCTACGTATTTTATTACTTCAAGGATCTTTGACATTCACCATGGAGAGGAACTGAAACATCCTGTCACCTTAGACCTATTGGAAAATCTCTGTATGCAGTCCATCTTTTCCAGCAAGTCTGACTGTATCCTTCTTTCCTCAGTTAATTCCATGAATGCAGTATGGAAAAAGTTTATAAGTACAATTAAAGTACTTGAAATTCCTGTTTGAGTCCTTTTAACAGGAACTATGTGTGGAGGGAGGAATAAAGCTAAGTGGGACATTCCCAAGGACATGCTGGTGAGAGGAAACAGGGCTTTTCCTGGAAAAGATAAATGATGCTCTGGATGAATGAAAACAACTCACAGTGTAAGACTTGAGATAACACAATGTAATTAGCATTTTTAGTCAATGAATGTACAGCATGACATTTTTCTAAAGAAAATGTGAGTAGTGCTTCCTGTGATAATGTTAAAGTCACAGTGCTAAACTGCTATTGCCTCTGTGTTGCTGTATTGCTTTTCTGGGTGGATGTTTAGTGGTTCGATTTTTTTTCCAGCTGATGAAAGATAAAAACAGCTAGTCAGAATTGACCCAATATTAAAGAGCTTGAGTATTTAAAGCAGCAGATGACATAACTGCAGTGTGCTTATAATAAACAGAACGATATTGTCTGTTGGCATGGATGCTAATATAGTTATTGTTATAGTTAATTTTCAAACAGGGCAGAGCGAGTCACATGCCAAAGTTTAATACTTAAGCTTTTGCTGAAATCTGTATGAGCAATAGGCCTCAATCAGGTTAGACGCCATTTTGAATTCAACATGGATGAAAATGATGCTGTGAGGGATAATCTTTAAAATGGCACGCTCTGTATAAAGGTCCTAGATCACTTAATTTTCACACAGCGGCTCACACCCTTCGGTTTTATTGAGTTTTTGTCTACTGAAAGTTTTTTGGGAAGATGTTTTGTCAGCTGAACAATCAGTAGGTTGTTAAACAGCAGTACAATACATTGAACGCACTGTACTTCAGTCCCTCACAGCCTCGTTTTCGTTCCTGTCAAAAACTAAATATGGCACTACCTTAAGGTCTATAGTAATATGGACACTTGCCTTAACAAAAAACACCATCCCAGTAGAGGGCTTCATATTGCCTTAACATTAAATTACTAAATATAAAGAACCATGAAGTTTATAAAGTCGTGTGGGATGAATGCAGGTAAATGTTACATAGACTAAGCAAAAACAAACAAGAGCAGAGAAGCATACAAAGCTGTGAGAAACAAAAATTCTGACCCTGATGGTGGCTGTTTGTATCTGAGAAGTATACTGTATCACTACTCTTTATCACTGCTATGCCCTCATCGAATGACCTTCAAATGGCTTAAAAGGACATATTTGTTTTGGCTGGAATACACTATAGGACTGTTGCCCAGGGTTTTGCGCTATATTGTAGACTATGAATTTGACCAGTCGGAGGATATCAAACATGTTCAGTATTTTAAGTTGATTTTAGAACAAATTGTTTTAATTTCATATACATCTTCTAGCAACAAGGCTCATGTTTCTGTGTGAATTTGTTGTGTTCGGAACATTCAGAAAGTCTCGTGTGTGATCCTCAGTCATTTCGTGTATGATGTACATTTTTTCCCTCAACTACAAAGTTGGCAAATGTATTATACCTAGAGTTTCTAAACCTGTTCAGATTTTTAAAAATCAAGTACACTCTTAAAAAAATAAAGGTGCTTCACGATTCCACAGAAGAACCTTTTTTGTTTAAAGGGGTAATATGATGCTTTTTTAAAGATCATTATTTTTGTGGCGAAAGAAAGTTCTTCAGATTATAAAAAGGTAAGAAAGAGATGGTTCTTTATGACTAAATGGTTCTTCTATGGCATCGCTGTGAAGAACCTTTTAAGCACCTTTATTTTTAAGAGTGTAGTGTATTAAAAATCTTTAGTCTATATTTGTTATTCCCTTTGTCGGTTTAGTTTTTTGGTATGCAGGATAGTATAACACTTTAATTCTGTACAACAGTGTATTCCAGTCCCCAAATTTTAATCCAATATTTTTTTTTCAGTGACTCTTTCTAGAGATTCCGTTGTTTTTATGTGCAAGTCGTTGAATCATTCATTCAACCATTTTGTTCAAAATGCTGATTCATTAGGAAATGAAACACCACTAGTGTGTATTGCTAGGAGATGGAACAGTTAATTCTATTTTGAATTCATTTGGAACTATTTTGAAGCAAGAAGTAACTGTCAATATTGTATTTAAATGTAAGTCCCTCTATTGTGTATTAAAGTGTTGTATAAAAGCATTATCACACTCATAATCATGCTGTTGGTCTGAATATGTTACAACACCTCCCTTGCTGGTGAGCTGTTGCTTATGTAGAAACTCAGAGGAATTCTCTCTTGATCTGTGTTATCTATCCTGCTGTCTCAATGCATTCCATTCTCCCCCCTGAGACTATAAAGCCTTCCTCATCCTGACATCAAAGAAATAAACAAAATTATGCTGCAAGTCTCATCAGATTTCTTATGCGGTTTGTTAAAATAGAAGTCTCATTATGAGTTGCCCCTTCACCGACATGTTTTAGCCTAAAGAAAAACTGTGACGTTAATAACATAAAGCCTCCTTTTGAGATGACTTGTTAGGTATTAAAGCTTGTAAAGCTATGGGTGCCTCAGTTCACTGAGAAGACACAGGGTACTCTGTTTTTCAGTGAGAACTCAATACTCCAAATACGCACAATCTCAGAGACTTTAGTGCTTCCTGACTTCTTATCAGAATCAAACCAACTTACCCCCACCTTTCCGGATTCTTGTGGAACACAATTATTTTCACCCATAGAAATTAACCAGAACCTACAGAAACATGTTTGGGAATTGCATGCCTTTATTAATTAATTTATTAAAACAAACACAGAACAAGTCGGCAATAGATCAGGAAAAACTGCAGCAACTCTGTGTCTGGCCAGCTCTGATTTAAAGAACATTTCACATTCAGTATGTAAACATGTGATGGACATCTCAACATTTATTAAAACTTGAATGAAAAAAGTGTTGCCAGTTCTGCATTGTCATAAAGTGGATCTAATAAGCAGGGAAGACCAGATAAGGGTTTTGTAATACAGTGATTTTTTTTCTCTTTATTGAAAGTCATTTTCTCTATGCGCTTATGCTAAAGTCTTGGTGAGACATGTTGTCACATCATATGAGGTAAGCAAACATCTGAATGTATGTCAGTGGTTTTATTGTGTTCACTTGTTTAAGCATTATTACAAAAGTATTATTTGGTTATAAAATGAAAAAATATTATACTAATTTAATAGAGTTCTGAAATTAGGCTAGAATTAGATAGCCTAACAACATACAAAACCACTGCTAAAGAAAAGTGTTTTTTTGTTTTTTTTACTCCCAGCCTACTAAAACCTAGCACACATCTAGCCCCAGTCTCCCCTTTTTAATACAGTACAAAAAACAAACAAACAAAAAAACACTGAAACTCCGGTAAATTCCAGTGTGTCACAGTCATTAAGGGTCATTGTGAATGTATAAGTGGAAGTAAAGTTATGTGAAATGTGAAGGAGAGTTGAGTCCCAAATAATTAAGGGGCATTCCAGTAATCCTCCTCCTCACATCGCCACCAAGGGGAAGGGCAGTTCTGCTGACCAAACACGTGGTCATTCTCACTTTTAATCTCTCACTGGGTGAAGTGTATCGCAGAAATACATCTCGTTTCTAAAGCTCAGGACTGGAGTTTAACATTGTTTTAAAATGCAGAAGGGGTCGTTTTCTCTCACCACATCTTTTCGGGTTTTCTATATGCGACTAACGTTAGTCGGATTTAGTTTCCTGCACTTCTCACTAGTCACAGGTGAGTGTTTTCAAAATATTTCGTTTGACTAGTCTACAAAATGTCGACAATAACTGCGCCACTCGCTTTCTTATTTCGCTTGTTTTGTGTCACCGGTTCAAAGCACGAGTGGTAGGCTACTGCATACCTTTTGTTAATCTTGTTTGAAAAAAAAAAAGGCTACTGCATACGGAAATGTTCATTGACAACAGTGCCTCTGAGACTGCCATACTATTTTAATGCTATATGGTCAGATTAAAAGTATTATCATGAAACAATCTTTAACAACTAACAAGCGGTTGTGTCTGCCCGTTCAGTATCTTAAGTGCCGTCTGTTCTGAATTAGCTCACAGATAAGGGTGCGAACAGGCGATATAATGACTTTCAGAGGCGTCAGGATTATTAAAATAACTTTTTAGACATTTTAGTCGATGTACCGCCCAGCATTAGCCTACGTTACGTTGCCGCGTTGCCGTGGTTACTTCATCAGTCGAACGCGTCTCTATTGTCTGGTGAAAACACGAGCTTGTCGGTTTTGTGGTTACTTTTAAGGGCCTAAAGACTTATAAAAGTAAATCCATATAATTCGTATAAATACTTTAAAGACCGGACTAAGTTACTTTTAGTTTTGTCTACACCTCGAGTAACGTTAGAGTCATTTATCTGCGTTTGGCACCGGACGTTTTGACCCATTCCAGTATTTGAAGAAGATCACCTGTAAAAAGCCTAACGTTACCAGAGGACGGCGCAATGCACATTTTAAAATCTCTTAAAGGCACCATATGTAAGTTTTCGCCGCTAGAGGGCGCGTATTCAAAAGAAACAAAGGCGTATTTGATGACGCCGTGACTGAGAGTGGAATCATGGGAGTTGTTGTCTTCATCCTCACAGCCGATGCAATCCGACGGGGCTCGGGCAGAAATCATCTTCATGGATGTATTGTAAGTACACAATGTGCAGGGCAGGGACAGTACAGGGTTGAAAACCACTGATGTAGAACATTATACTATAATGTTCTACATCAGTGGTTTTCAAACCTGTCCTGGAGGCACCCCTGCCCTGCACATTTAGCATGTCTCCCTTATTAGACACACCCAAATCAGAGCCGTTTCTCAATATGCGTTCTTGGCCCTGTCCCAAATGGAACACTTCATGTGCACTTGCGGTCTTACGGACTTACAATGGCCACCGCGTGCGCGTGTCCGTTAAGTCCAAGAGACCGTAGGGTGTCCCATTTATCATTTTAGCGTTCAGAAGGGTGCTCCCTTTTTGAAAGCGCCCCCTTTGCGGCTGTTATGCACCCTCGATCCGCACTTCTGCCGAGCCCCCACTGGGGCGAGCTCCGCAGCAGATTTCTACCCGACAGTCAAAGCGGCATTACCTCATGAAAGTGCGGACTCAGAGGAAGACCGCGAGGGTTTAGGGTGCCATTTGGGACAGGGCCTTTGCCTTGTCCAAATACCTGCACTTGCAGTCTTTGCACTTGACTACTTATATGACGTATTTCCTGTGTTTGGTCCAAGTGTTCAAGTGAGCATGAAGACCACAAGTGTGTGTAGAACTTTTCATTACCTGATAGGACACACTTGTAGTGTTGTAAAAATGCAAGTGTTTACATAGCTTTATTTTAATTTTAATTTTAAATACTTTGCATTTTAAAATCAACTTCTAAATGTCTGTTCAGTGTCTCTATAACATGACAATTTTAATTTGTGGTGCTTCTAATTAAGTGATAAAAAGCAGTTGCAAATGTTGTACAAAATAAATATCACCACTACTCATCTTTGCACCAATAAAACGTAAAAACAGTTTTTCTACCAAATTATATGTAATATCTAATTATTATATTAATATTTAACTTGCATTGGAAAGGTTTCCGTGACCTCTCGCGGGATCTCGGCAAAATGTCTCACGATTTATTTCCAGAACATGATGCATGATGGGATACACTAAGCCTCGAATAGCGCTCCAGAGTGGTATTCGAGATAGTGTGGGTTTAGTGTGCGTTAAGGGCACTGCACTCTAGCGTTTTTAAGACCTGGGACAGTCTTGCGCACTTACTTCCTGTGGCCAAGACTGCAAGTGTGGGTATTTGGACAAGGCACTTGTCTGTACTTGTGTTCTTGTGGACTTGTGAAACGTCATCAGTCGTCGCCCAAGTACTGTTCCAATTCAAAC